TCTCAACAAAAAACTGCTAAAAGCTTGAAAACCTATACTTGTGAACTATTTTTATAAGTCTTCAAAATTCAAAATGTTTGAATGAAACACGTTAATTGATTAAAAAATTGATTGAGTTAAACAGATAATTCCAAAAATTTAACAGATATAAGTTGGTAGAGTAAAATTTTCAAATTTTGAACGACGTTGTGGTAATACAATTACATATTGTGTTGGTTATATCTGTTAATTTACAACCGAAAATTATTTGAATTGTCAAATTTTCGTTATTACGAATGAAACACTATTTTTCGTAGTTTTTTTTTACCCAATAATAATTAATTAATATGCGAGAACTAATAAATTTCTTCCACTGCAGATAGAACAAGATTCCTTGACATAATTCAATTACTTTCAAGGTTCAACATCTTTGAATAACCTTCCATTTTTTAATAAGCCAAATACCGATTTCTCTACTTTCTGAAAATAAAAGATTACCTACAACAATACTCAAAATCAGGGAGAATTTATAAAATAAACTCCTATATAATTATAATAATACCCATAATATTGAAAGCTTTAGGCATTTTAGAAGTGTGAAATGAAATAATAATCATAATCCTTGAAACTAAAACAAAGTACTAATTCTTTGATCACGCATACATTGCACACATTGTCGTTAAACTTTCTAATTGTTTTTTTACTTTACAGAAAAATTCGAAAATTATTACTTGAATTAACGTTATAAATAACAACAATTACTGTACATGAAGTGTTCCGGCTTCTTAAAAATTAAAACAACAGTCAAATTAAAGATTCCGTTCGTCATTGTATGTAAATTTTATTGTGTGGTAAGTAAAACAGTGCCTGGAAATCGGTCATTTACAGTGGCCACAAAACATATAAATGATAAGACCACCCATCTCTAAAAATATGTACTCCTATATGTAACTAGCATCTTAATTCACACTATATGCTTTCTATAAAACAGAAATCATGTAAAACCGCAACACCCTGTCGTGAAAACAGAAATTTGTAAGTGAAAAGTCAATAAGCATAAAAATCCAATAGGCTCGAGTTGAATGTTAAATAAAATTTATTCTAATGTCTGAAATGTTCATTCATCGAATTGTGAAAACGTGTAAGCTTTCGTCATCTCGCCGCCAAACTGCATAAATTAAAAAAAAATTCATTCAATTCTTGTATTTAATTTAAATAATAAATCCAACAATAAACTTTCCCAAACTCAGATAAGTGTCTTTTGAGACATAAGAACCCTTCAGCTGTCCGATAAATTTTTGATATGCTCTCTCCGGAGTGCCGCTTCAGTTCAGATTCAGCAAAAAAATAAAAATTTATTGTTTGCACTGCGAGACGTCTCATAAAACTTTAACACAAACCGAAACAACATTGCATCAAGCTTAATAACAGTAAAAAATATTTACATAGATGCAAGGCTGCACACACCTTGTTAATTAAAATATTAACACTGTGAGATAATTTTGAATGGTAAAAGTCGCCAATCGGGCCGGAACAATGGCTCTATKTCACGTAATCTCGTAATTATTATCACTTATCATATTGTCCCATCGCACTGGGAAATCAACCGATTTGGGCTCGACACTGCCCCAAGCATTGAGAATTTAAAAGTGAAATTGCGATAAAAACCTGCTAGCGTCTCAAACTCTTCCATTTAATTACCTTGTCGATCTATTCAAGTTTCAGCGCCTTGCAGTTTACAAAAAACCAAGGATTTATGGTAATTAGTAAAAGTGCATATTTGTAACATAGGCAATTATTGAATAAAACACATTCACTTGCATTAATGTGTTATTGTGTTTGTAAATTTTCTAGAAACAAGGCAAATTTTACCAAATTAACAATATAATTCTAGACCTTAATGATGTAAGCTGTGCCAACATATGCAGTCTTGACCTCGTACAAATTTTTCTAGTTTAATTGAGGAAAATGGAACAAACGGTATTGTTAATAACATCAATTATGCAAAATCATCTTGTTTAAGGTGTGAGGAGATATCACGAAAAAATCATCAAACAACGAAGAAATTTTCCGACACTGGCGGTGGCACATTTACACACTAGTTACGTAATCATTTTTAAACTGTGTTCTAACTGTACCGAGCAAATTAGAATCTTAAATCGACCTGAGTTTATAATTAAAGCTTTAACCTGAAAAGGCATTTCCTGGACTATAAATTGGCGATTATTTCATTTGACACTAAAATGTCCATCAGCAGTATTGTACAATAGTCGTTTGTAATTAATTAATTTTTAGTGTGTGAACYASACAAACCTATATAAACAGAATGTCCCAACTAAAATTTGCGTCTAAGTTTGGAAAAAATGCTGCAATAGGTCAATTTTAACAAAAAAATGAAATAGCAAGAGGGATCGAGTGACACATTATTTTGATGAACAAAAACACGATTAGCCCGTCACACCAAACTTTTATTTGAAACACAACGCGTTTCAACCACAAAGTGGTCATCCTCAGGTGAGTTTGATTGAGTTTGATTTGAGTTTTATTCAAGCCTGAGGATGACCACTTTGTGGTTGAAACGCGTTGTGTTTTAAATAAAAGTTTGGTGTGACGGGCTGATGGTGTTTTTGTTCATCGTTCCCATACCAAGAAGATCCAAGAAGAAGAACATTCTTTTGAGGATAACTTAAGCAGTATATTCCTTAAATTGAATTGAAATTGAACTGAAAAAATCGTTTAAAATTGAACAAAAACATGGACAATGAAAGCAACTTCAAAATGTGTCACTCTTGCCATTAAAATTTTTTGAAGGGGTAGCTCTGGACCTTAAGGGAATGCAAAAATTATGAAAAAATTATGATAAAATCTGGTCCCCTTTAAATTAAAATTGACCTGTTTCAGCATTTTTTTCCAAACTTGGATGAAATTGGAGATTTTACAGGGTGCAAATTTTACAAATTTACACAGCCCCCGTTTAAGACACTGAGATGAGACAGTTTAGTATCGAAAGCAGGCACGTAACTACAGGGGGGCCTGGGTGGGCCATGGCCCACCTAAAATTGTGCTGGCCCACTTGCTTCAAAACAAGAAAAGAAGAAATTTTCAAAAAAAAAAATACAATTTACACAATTTTAACATAGTTTTTTTTTTAAAGAAGTATAATTTCTCGAACCATTTTCACTAATATTAAGTTTTTAAAGAACTTTTTGCTTGTTTTTAAAACTGAGATCCGGTTTTATCATAACATATGGGCTTTACTTAGCCCACCTTAAAAAACTTTGGACRAATCATGGGCCACCCAAATATGAGGACCTAGTTCCGTGCCTCATCGAAAGAGCTCTGTAACTTAGGGTATTAAACCTGATTTCATAAGTTTTTTAATATCATAGGTTTGACTTTGACTTTCGACTTCTTTTAATACACTCACCGGCACAAAATTCGATCCATAATTTTTATTTAATTTTTCTCAACTAATTCTTGTTCTACAAGGCAGCAATTTTTTGAGAACTTTAAATTACACATATTAAAACAAGTATAAACAAAAACCAACTTAAATTAAATAACATATTTTTTATTTTTTTCAATAACAAAAAAAAATGCAAAATTTTACGAAAACATTAAATTCTGAATTAATACCTAATAAAGAGTTAAGACCTAAACTGAAGTTTAATATTGTGTGTTGCCTCTCCTTACACGAATTACAGCTACCATTCTTCTTGGCATTCCTTCAATAAGATTTTCAATCGCTCTTTAGTCAATTTCTTCCCAAATTTGGGTTACTGCCACACTTAGCTCTCTAAAATTTACAGGAGCAGGAACTCTGCGTCGAACCTTTCTTCCCACCATGTCCCAAATGTGTTCAATAGGATTTAGGTCAGGACTTCGGGCTGGCCATCTCATACGTTCGATTTCAACCTCATCTAGGTATGTGTTCACGTTGCGAGCAGTGTATGCACGTGCATTATCATGTATAAAAATGAAATTTTCACCAATAAATGGTATATAAGGCACAACATAGGGTTCCAGAATGTCTCTGATGTACCTATCAGCWGTCATTGTTRCTCTGTCTACAATGACTAATTCGGTACGAGCTTCCAAACTAATGCCACCCTAGACCATAATAGAGCCACCTCCAAAATTCAGCCTTGCACTGTGCAAATCTTTCTTCTGATCGTCGCCGAACTCTTTGTCGTCCATCTGGAGAATGAAGACAAAACCTCGACTCATTAGAGCAAAGAACTCGGCTCCAATCAGCAACACCTCAATGCTCATGTTCATGAGCAAAACSTAGTCGCTCGACTCGATGTTCTCTGGTTAATTTGGGGCCATTTGCTGGTCTCCTTGCAACTAATCCTTCTTCCTTGAGTCTTCTTCTTACTGTTCTTTTGCTTATTGTCACACGTCTTACCTCTTCTAACAAGTTACGACCACGAACAGCTGTTGTGTCCCTATTTCTCAATACTTGCAGTGTGAGAAAATGATCATCTCGAGCTGTGGTACATCGCTTTCTTCCTGAACCAACTCTCCTAGTGTAGCCCCTAGTTTCGCGAAACCGTTCTAGAGCTCTCTGCACCTTACACCTCGAAACTCCAAGAACTCGAGCTGCGTAATATTGCAATCTACCATCTTAAACTAGTTTTGCCCTAGCCGCTTCCTTTGGATTTAACACCATATATACTTTTAGAAGGCTAAATTACTTTTATGCTCTGCAAAAAATGACAAGAATAATGCCAAAGGYTATTAAAATAGGTATCACGATAAAAGAAGATTGGAAAAAAAAGTTAAAAAAATCCTCAAAATTTTATCGCGTGCTCATTTTTGTGTTTGTTGGTTTTAACAATAGTTAGAAATATATCTTATTTCTGTTTAAAAGTTCTCTGACCAAAAGAAAAAAAATCGAAAACGTTTTCGAGAAAATAAAGTATGGATCGAATTTTATGCCGGTGAGTGTATTAATATTAGTTATCCGTTTTTTTAATTTTTTTTGAAAGTTGGGCGAAACAAAAAATAGTGTGTACCACACGGCGATAAACTGTTTTACAAATGCTTGAACTTCAATCTTGTCTGTTATTTTATTTGTTACATACCTATCGGTCTTATGACGTTAATAACCATTTTGTAATTTTATTCTTCGACATTGTCAAAATTTACGGTTTTTCTCCCGTGTAAAGAAGTTTTGACAACTGTTTGGCATTTCTCAATACAAAACGTCAGATTATTTTTAACAGATTTAAAGCAAGTTTAAGCCTTGTTGACTCTAATTCGAAGAATAAAATGTTGTATTCCACTCGTTTGAGTGTAAATCGGACGCTTTATTCCACCTCGTGGATGGTAAACCACTCGTTACACTCGTGGTTTAAAAATCCACTCGGTTAAATAAAGAGTCCGATTTACACTCAAACTCGTCGAATAAATAACTATTAGCAAACAAGGTTTTTTATTTTTTTCTTTATCATTAATTATTTGAAAATGGGTAACTATTTAATTATTGGGTACACATTTTTGTAAATTTGCGTTTTCTGCATGGTGTATAAATGTTCGTTATTTTACAAGTTGTGTTATTTTCAAGTATGCCGCAATATTCTGTTATATCCAGATCACCAGGAAAAATATTTTTAAGTAAACTAATGTTCAAAGCTTTGCAAGAYAAATTGTGTTAAGTCCTCCCTAAATCTTGTATGTGTCACTTTAACACGTAGTCGCATTACATCCTTGTAACAAAACCAATTTTACACCAGCTTTCTCGGCACTTATTCTCAAAGGTCTAAATCACTCGCACCAATCTTTCCTTTTAGAATTACAAATGTTTCAGCGGATCAAACTGTTTCAAAATACAATTAACACTTTTGTACCAAACCAGCGAAYATTTTCGTGCATACAAGAGAAAGTATGTACTTTTTATCGAAAAAGATGCTTTAAATTTTACCACAACACTTGATTGTATCTCGCCACAAAGCACACAGTATCTTATACACTTTATTTTCTTTATCTTCACATATTTTCAGTGTTCAGTGTCAAATCTTTTTTAACTGAAACTTACGAGCTTAAACATATCACTTTTCAGCATTTGAAAAACAAACACCTTGGAAGCAGCTCTTCCTTTCGCTTCTTTTTATTTTCAATCGGGCTAAAACCGTGCATAATAAACCGGCTTTCAATAAACATTCACTCTATACCAGTATGTATTACATTTTCATTTATTTTATTACTTTACAGGTTTGGAAAGACTTTRTCTGAAATATACAAAATTTTAAAATTGAATAAAAATATTTAAACAATTTACAAGAACACAAATTTTGCAACTTTAAAATTGACCTACTTTGAAGTGCATTAATCCACAAATAATAGCAATTATATAACCCAATGCCTGATTAAATCTAAATTAATCAATTTAACTTTCCAAATTTTATAGATGTAAACTACAAATTAGCATATAAAAATGTTAATAGCCATGTTTTTTATATGAGGATGCAATAATTGCATCAAAGCGAATACAATATAGATATAAAAAAATACTCAGTTGGTAAATTACAGATTTTGTAGCTTGATTACACCACTAACCACTTAGTTACATGTAGGAGGTTTTTATTTTGGTGTATACAAAATAAGCCAATATGTAACTTGAAACCGTAACCGTGATCTACTTTCGTTTTTTATAATATATGAGATATGACTATACTGAGATTTGTTCAAGATCAATTGCTTTATTAAATCACGAAAAAATATCTAAAAACGAAATTATCAGCTATGATTTTTTTGGAATATACGCATAAAATTACAAAACAATGTTCGACTTCACCGCAAATAAAACTGTTTTTACGCTTCGGTAGTAAGTCGGCATTTAACTGTTTAAAAAATATTTCRCAACTGAATGAATAAATAAATACAACCGTTTTAGCAACTTTTGAGTGAAGAAAACTTTTATTTCCATATGATAAAAATCTGTGTATAAATATTACACATGCATTTTTGTAAAATGGCACTTCTTCCGTGTTGAGGTTTTGCCGTTGAAAGTTTCCAAACAAATGCACTTTTCAATATAATAAAAATATTGCATGTGGCACAATAGCCGCAAGAGAATATAATAAAACAATTATTTTCATTTTCACAACAATGTGCACATTGTAGTGCACCTTTTGCTTCCTCGAATTATCAATAGATATGTCGTAGTTGCAACAATAGTTAATAATAGACGGAAATTACACCACAGAACTCAATTACTCATCTCTAAATCCCAATATTAWTTTTTTCTTTTCCAATGGGATTTTGCTTATTATCAATGTAATTAACTTCCTACTGTGAAAGTTATAAATTAAAATAAAATTGCAGTAATACGAATAAGGGCCGGCCTAAATCTAACAATTAAAGAGAAATTTTAAACAATTAAGATGACATACCAAGTTTTTCTTTAATAATTATAGATAAAAATTGCAAATGATTTCTGCACCGCCTGGGGATTTACCAGGAGTGCACGAAAATGTAACGAAAGTCAAAAAATAAGGTTTATGGCTTGAAAGCTCGCTTTCTCTCCACCGCCGGTTTATCTCTGAACAACAACGCGAAGTCCCGTCATGATCAAGTTCACTGTAATTAAACGATAATTTAAGGCAAAGTAACAATGAAAGTTGAACCAATTAAGTAACAAATTATGAATAGGATGCTAATAAATGGAATTGAAAGAAAGTGCCACCTTCAATAAGGTCACAATTTCACTTTCTTTCATAATTGCTACCGAAAAAATAAAAGACACCACTCGAAAAATTCGTTTATTTGAAACTTTACAAACTTAAAAATTAATTGGTCTTCAACAAATTTTTAATATCTGTAAGTCTCGACTTGATTTCCGGTTGATTATCACCAGAAATATCGACCAATGCCTGGTCGAACATCTCACGCAATTTGCGAAACTCCTCTTCGTGGTTTTTCTGCTTGAGTTTGTTACCCATGCAGAACACGACGTTGAGAGACTCCTTCCGAAGCCTCGTGTGCTTTGATATTCCTAAAGCGTATTTAATCGCAATTATGATATTATCGACGATTCTTTCCAACTTTTTCTTATCGTCAGCAACCAAATCCTCGTTTAATAAAATGAGTTTATCGACGTAATTATACAGTGCTGACACCACACTGACTTGTACCGAGCGTGTAATACACGGTAAGCATTTAACGCAATGTTCGACGAACATTTCCCCGTATTTATCTTGAGTAATTTTGCTTTTTGCCGGCCATGTTTTACCCAAAGTTTCGTAAGCTGTTTCTTTCAACTTAATGTTATTCTCGCGTTTCTTCACCATTTCCTCCGATGAAATATCTTCATCTTCTTCCTTAACCGCGTTATCATCGGTCAAGATCGACTGAATTATTGCATAGACCTCATCGAACTTGTCTACTTCGAGGGCCGATAAAACATCCCCTAAAGATCCCAAAGCCTTTATTTTATACCCGATCTCGTCTTTTCGACTCTCTTTAATCACAGCATCTATTATCAAATCGACATTAACACTATCATCTTCTTTAATTGAATCCCTTCAACACGTTTATTACAATAAAAAACTTAATTTCTTCACAATAAACCGTCTTACCTGCAATTTGAACAAATGCTAGCGAGCGCTTTTAACAATTTATCTTTCCCATTCCATGTCCGTCCAGATAAACCATTTAATAAAATATTTATCAGGGCATTCCTATGTTTGGCATCCATCGTTGTACCTAATTTGCTTGCAACCGTCGAAACGGCACTCGCAGCCTGATTCGACCGAATTAAATGTGAAATTAAAGCATTTTTTTATTACTGACCTGAGCCTTCATCGTCCACGAAGGTGATTCTAACGCTGTTTTCAGGATATCGCAGATGACTTCGATATTTTGCCGGATTCCGGTTTCCGTCCCCGGACTGTGTTCCGACCAAATTTCCGTCCACACCTCGAGAGTGCTTTCTGTCTCCGGCGTTTTCTCGCAATGCATTGCAAAAAACACAAGGGGCAAAATCACCTCCGAGTGCGTTTTTAACACTTCCTGGTTGTGGATTCCGATAGATTGGATCGTATGAGCACATGCCGACCGGATAGAATCGTCTAAAATTCACACAAAATAATAACATAGAGCAGTGGCGGCTCGTCAGGGACGGCAGTTCCTATTATACGATACAAAATTCAAAAAATTCAACAAAGAATGCAAAATAGTAAAACTAAAAAAGAAACTAAACTTCATGTGCCTGATAAAAAGCTTAAAACTTTTCCATTATATTTTTCGAATTTCTTTTCAAACTGGGTACGCTAACAAAATCGTATATAATAACCCTCCAACTGCGAGGATTTTACTAAATATTAAAATTCGAGTCGACTGACGACCCAGCAGCAGGATGCGCCGAGGATGGGTATGCAAAATAAACACTACCTCCTCTTGCGTCCCACCTCTAAAATCGTAATCATCAGGCGTTCAACCCGGGCAAGCCTATACTGTTTAGACCTGAGATTGTGGACACATTTTTTAAGAAAYATTTATCTTACATACTCGTATAAGATTCTGCTCGATCTACTACAAATATTATTTTTTAACCTTTTTGTTAATTCACAAAAATTTTATGTTTAAAAATAAATTATTCWTCAAGTTCTAAGTCAAATACGACAGCAATAACAAAAATTAAGAAAAAAATTATTTACTTTTCGTAAAAAGAATTCAATAAAAAAATATTGTATCGAGCGATCAAGATAATTTCTACTCGAGTCAACCTTGAATTCGAAAACGTATGTCTGTAAAATGCCAAGTAAAATGACAAGTCGAAAAGTAAAATGGCATGATCAGATAAAATAGATAATTTTTTTTTAACATTCTTTCTATGTTTCTGGTATCTTACTTTATATGGCATTTTTTCTGGGGCGCGAGTTCTGGCGCACCCTGTATAAGTATGTTCATATACATAATAATTTTAGAAAAAGTTGTGTATTAGATGAGGGGGAAGGGGTCAACACAGCCTACCCAGTTTTAATGATCACGAGCCGCCACTGACATACAGCAAATTTAACACACACAAGCAAATTTAATTACAGAGCAAATCTGTAATTAAAACTTCATTAGTCTGCTTCAGTGGAAAGAAAAGTTTATTTTTCTCTTGATTTTGGACTTTTGGACAAACCTTTTACGACCTATTCTGAATTTCCCACTTAAATGTGTAATCAATGCGCAAGTTTTCGAATCAGCTGATACCATAGGCGTCTCATGTTTCCGTGTTTTCCAAGTTGTCTTTTGATATTTGCTTTTAATAAGTTTCTTTTACACAGTTTTATTTAAATAATCGGCCTAGTTTTAAGTATTAGTGTTAATTTTTAATGTTAGTCGGTGGTATATTTATTTATTTAGTTAATTGAATGTAAAAAAAAAACATTGACTACACCACTGCCTCGAAATTTGTAGTGTGGGAAAAAGCTTGAGGGCGCACTTTGGAAAGATTCATTGAAGGTGTTTGTGCAACAACGATTAAAAATTAATAAAAAAGCAAAACTACAATGTATTGAAGTTAATCATAACACTCAATTAACAAACTACCTAATTTTGTATGCAATAAAAATCAAATCAAAAACTCGCAACAACTTAAAACCCTAAAAATTCAATTTTCCTTTGTAGAAAATAAAAATGCAGACAGCTGTTTWTCTTAACAATAAATACCTTCACGCTCAAAGTACCAGTGCTGCAACTTGGAAAACAACTTCTCCAAACTCGATTCCTTGGCAGTTGAGACTAAATGTCCAATAGCACTTGCGTAATGTTTCCTTATTGCTGCATTTCTATCGGTTAAACCATTGACAAGTGCTGCGAGCAATTTTCCAGTATAAGGTTGCAAATCCTGTCCCATTTGTACCACTAAAAGTGTTACAAAATGAGTGCAGGCTATTCTCGTTCCCAACCCAACTGAACCCTTCAACAATTCAACAATTTTCGGAATCAACTCTTCCAAAATCGATGCATCGGCGTATTGCAAACTCTAAAATCCCCAAAATGAAGAAATCAAACACGATTTCCCAATTTTATTACTTTCGAGACCGTTTCCGTCGTGAAATGTGATTTGGCAAAGGAAGCCCGAGCACTATCTACAGCCTCCTGAGCTTGGCTTTGAGCCCCCAACATGGTGCTCAAATACGACAGTTTCGTCGATTCTAATTCACCTGTGGCTTGCAAAAGTGCTGGAATTAATTTTGGCAAAAATGGTTTCAGCTGTGATCCTGCTGAACCGACTAGTTCTGAAATAGTCTGAAGACTTATCAGACGAATTTCAGCGACAGGATTCGTGATTCCGTTGTTTAACAAAGGGGGTAGAATCGCTTCGACCATTTTCATGCCAGCTTTACCCTGACTTACATCACACCCTCTGATACACAACTATAAAAAAAAACTGTCAATTCTGACCCAAACTAAACCAAAATTATTTACTTTACTCAAAACTCGAGCGGTTTTATTTGCTGTGAGTCTCGTGGCTTCGTGATGGTCATCCATYACTCTGAACAGTTTGCTCCAGAGTTCATCCATTGAGTTAATACAGTCATGGATCGAGCGATTTCCAGCCCCTTTGAGGAAATCTTGCAAAGCGAGACAACACGACTGGCGGACTCGATACTGGCCCGAATTTAAATTTTCCAAAAGATCGACAAGAATTTGATCGTAATATTGATCCAACTGAAAACCAAACGATAGAAAAAATCAGTTTARAAACACATTAATACAGTTTTCTGCGGCTCGGATACCAACACCCTCCAAATGTTGTGCATCGACGCTTGAATYTTAGGAGTTGGGTCAAACTGATATCTGTACAATTTTGGTATYATTAAGGGTAAGTGTGCTTTCAGATCTTCGCCGCAACGCTCAGCTATTGACGAAAAACCAAAAGCTGCTCCTTTTTTCGAACACCAAATTGCATTGTGATTTGCAAGATGCATAAACTGGTAAATCAAATCTGGCTTGTTTAAATCGGACGCCAGTGAACACAGTTCCTTGTATGTTGTTAAATTACCCCTAAAATAAAATATTACCCCCGAATGTGCACTCTTTTGCAATTAAATACCCAGTCGGAGCTGTACCCAACTGGCCCTCTTCAAACAATTTCGTATCGTCTGTGACTTGGGTCACTTGTCTAGTGCCAGAAGTCAATTGTTTTACTAGTGCTGTGAGTAATTCTTCTGATTTGTAAGTGTCGTAAACGACACATAAGCCTTTAGAGGCTGCATCTTGTACAATATCTGGAAATTTTGATTCAGAAAAATGCAAGAAACACAAGTGTCGGACTCTTCCATGTTTTTTTTAAATTTCGTTAAAAGAATATCGTGATACGTTTACTAATTTTAAGTAAATATTCAGAAAAAAAGTATTATTGTTACAAGTACCTAAAATACAGTTTTTGCGGACGAATCGTTGCTGTTTCCGGACGAGGCAAAGCCGAGCAGATGAGTCCGCAAAAACCTTTTAGGTACGTCTTACAAACAAACTTTTTGTTAAAGCTCCCAAAAAACGAATTCACACCTGTTATTACTTAAACAAAATTCGCCATCATAGTAACCAAATTCACTTTTTCATCCGGAAAAACTGTTTTTGGGAATTGAGTACCTAAAATAACCATTTTATGTACTATTTTATTAAGTCCGGAAAAGACTAAATAACTTATATTCGGGAGCGTATACAAAAAAATCATTACATCCAAATTTCAGTATATTTTTTTTGATTAATAGAAAAAAAAACTTGTAATATACAGGCTGACATAACTTTCTTGATATATATTATATTGACATATATATTGACATGTCGTTTCYACGTCCGGTAGATCTACTGCACCATTTAATAATACTTTTGTTATATACAGGGTGAAGAAATTTTTTTTTATAGAACACTACATTTTATATTATACGTAAAAAATAATAGAACTTTGTGTAAACCATCGCCGTCTCGATAAAAATAATCCTTTTCACACCTGGCCCTTTTTTGAATTCAACTGATTTCCGTTGGCGCTTTAATTCGGGGAAATTCTTCCTTGTGTATCTTGTTTTGTCGTATTTTTCCTTCCTAGCTTTTAAGAGAGTTGCGTTATTTTTCGTTAATAATTAATAATAATTCAGATTTTCGCCCCGTAACTAAGAAAAAACTCAGAATCACTTCTCCAATGCATTTTTTGCGAAATGCCCCGGCAGGATATTGAGACATTTCATTAAGAAGCCAGTGGTGTAAACTATTATAACTATTATAAGTCTATCTCCTTCCGTTTCGGAATTATTCAACTTTTTGTTATAAACAGTACTGACATTTGAAAAATCACTACGAAGTCGGCTGTGAAAATTTTCCGACAAATTTGCAAAAAGAAATATTTAGAACAGCTTTTTTCGCAAATAGTCGACTTTTAATTCAAGCACGCACTGCACTTTACGAAACAGTTGAATAACTTTTTTAATGGAACATCCTGCATTTGTTTTCACGTAAAGATAGCATTTTTTACAAGTTTTTCAACGATATGTACGATTTGTATTGTAAATTCTAAATATTTCTCGAGCTTTTCAAAAAAAGTTGTTTATGATCAACAATCAATATTGTGTTGTTATTCTACACCATAATTACTAAAAAAAATATTTTTGTGTAAAAAATAAATTGTCATTTGACTTTTCAGATTCGCTGACAGCATTGACATCAGCCTACTGAAAAAACTAACAAATTTTCTTGTATTTTTTTTTTTAATTTCAAGAAATATTTTAAATTTACTATACAAACCGCATACTGTTGAAAAGCTTGGGAAAAATGTTATTGATAGGTGAAAAAAATATAAAAGGTGTTCCATTAAAAATGGTTATTTATTATACAAGACGATAAAAAAATGGTTTATCTACGAGTGAAAAGGTTAAGTTTAAGTGACGAAGTCACGAGTGAACTTATTTCAAGAATAGATAAACAATCTTTATCTTCGTGTATAATATTTCGTTTTATTTTGTACTCACCTACCAGAATTTCTTGAATATAAACAGTAGATAAAAATTACTTTATTTCACTAGACGATAAAAGACTACTTTATCTACTAAAATTAGTTGATAAAAGCACTCTTTAACATTGAGTACAAATGAACAAAAACACGATTAGCCCGTCACACCAAACTTTTATTTTAATAGCTTTGTGCTATTAAAATAAAAGTTTGGTGTGACGGGCTAATCGTGTTTTTGTTCATCGTTTCCATACCAAGAAGATCCAAGAAGAAGAAGATTGAGTACAAAATAAAAAGAATTATTCAACTTTATTCGTATTGGCACACGCAGTAATCAGTAAAGTGTTTGCGTACGTGAACTAAAAGTCTACTATTTTCTAAAACTACAAGCTATTCTGATTTTTTCTTTCGCAAATTTGTCGGAAAATATTCACAGACGACTTCGTAGTGATTTTTCATATGTCGGTACTTTTTATAACAAAAAGTTTAATAATTCCGAAACGAAAAAAGATAGACCTATAATAGTTTACACAAAGTTTCATTATTTTTTTACGTAGAAGAAAAATTTTATATTATTTAATAAAGTAAAAATTTATATTGTTCTATTAKAAAAATATATATCTTTGATTCGACACCCTGAATGTAGTAAAAATGTATTTAACTGGCGCACTTTAATAAGTGGAAACGGCATGTCAATATATCAAATACCAAAAAAGTTATGTACCGATTACAGACCCCTGGATCAGCCTGTATGTCTCAAGTTGTTGAGAAATGTGAATATTGAATTACAAGTTGCATAAATTCACAAAATAAAAAAAAAACTGTTTTTGCATAAATTAACAGATGGAGGAAGAATCCGACCCGTGCAAACTTCTTCATGCCACCCACCGTTATTTTCACACAGCAAATCCATAAACGTATTTTGCAACATCTGCAACTTCTTCGTGATCGGTTCTCTCTCTCCGCACCCTTTCAATATCGCCAACAACCAAATACACGACGCTTGCTTTGAATTCGGATGCGGTAGTCTCGCCAACTTCAACAGCTCATCCAGTAAACAATCCAAATTATCATCGACCATCGCTTCACTCGTATTCGGAACATAATCTTTCGGAAACGTCGTCCACGCATTTCGTGCTTCCGGCGACCACACACTCTGACAACACATCACCAACGACTCCCCTATCGTAAAGTGCACCTCCACGTCTTTCGTATCTTTCGACGTGTTAACCAGCCCTTGCATTATCTCTTTAGCATGCGGGAATTTCTCTCCGACACACATCAGTCCTAAAGACTTTGCAGCCTTTTCACGGATTTTCGCCGACAATTTCGTGTTGTTCATCACGTCCATCAAACGATTAACGACGTCTATCTTTGTTATGATATCGTTAGCAGGACGTTTAGCGTCGGGACTCCCCATCTCTTTCGGCTTACCGTCATCCAGAGGTAATGCAGATTTCTGTACTATCAAACCGAGGCTACTGCAAGCAGCGCCAACAAGTAATGGGTTTTGGTGTTTCAAAAACGTGACTAATGTAGAAACTGTCTTCTTGGGTATGTCGCGACTGACTGAAGTATACGTCAGTGCGAACTGAAGACAGGAACCAAGAGCCAAAAGGGCGCCATGTTGGGCTTCCAAATTTTTACTTTCGGTTTGTTTCAACAAATAATCAATGGCACTGTCGAATACCTTCGATTCTGTACTAAGTACAAGAGAGTAGAGAGTAGAAGCGTACTCTCGGACTTCTTCTTTGGTCGAATTTAACTGATCTCGTACCCACTGCGTGTCCTTGAAAAACACTGAACTTAATTGTGGGACGCAACCGATTATTTCAACCATGCAACTTAGTGATTCTACAGCTAAAATTACGTTAATTGTGTCGCATACTTATTTTTTTCTATTACTTACAAGGATTAACTAGTAGTAATTGCTTGACTAGAGAACTGTATTGAAGAATTGGATTATTCTCAATCGGTTTGTTTTGGTCGTAAAGACCTTGAAGATATTGTCTAATAATTGGTGTGTACTCACATGGGTGGTTCAAAATATCGCGAGTTAGAGGTACTTCCAAATTTCGGATCAAGCAAAGTCTCAAATAAATAATCAACTAGAAATAAATCAATGTAACGAAAGAAAAACTTTGATTATTAATTTGATACCTCAACATATGTTCGTAGGTCGAATGGAAGAAAGTGGTTTCCAACCGAAAACCGCTTTGAGGAATCTTTGACTAAATTTTCCGCCTCGCTGTAGACATAACTAACAATTTCCGGAAATTGAGGAGTGATTATTTTATTCTTTTTTGATAAATCTATTTCGGTCTTTCGAGACGTTCCATAAAGTGCTTTAAAAGCTTCAGCAGAAACGTCATCTTTGCTGAAGTAAATATTTCATGACGAACACAGGAAACAAATTTTTAGACTTACCTATCACCCGTCAATAAAAGCAACAAATACTTTGAAGGTACATGTTCTGGTGGAAAAATCGTAGCTAGAGTTCTAACAGCCACAAACCTCACCATTGACTCTTCAGAACTCATCCGAAATTTGATTAAAGCAAAGAGGATATTCAAGCGACCGTCTTTATCGGCTTCTTCCAAATAAACATCATACTTGTATGCCAGAATTAGATTTAAAAGGCCTTCCCGAATTTGCAATTTTAAGTCGGGATTGGCAGATTCCAAATTTTTGAAAAACGTTTCCAAAAGATTTATGTCGTGGTAAACAATTTTCGGAAATCTTTGGGCGAGGGCCCCAATCAAGACATAGGCTTGGCCTTGATGCGTTTCTTCGCCTTCTTTAATCAGCTTTTGCAGGCCTGACAGCAAGACGGGGGCTACTTTGCTCAAGGGGCCCTCGTCGGCGCTAAAACATATTAATTTTCTTTGTAGTYTGCAAGAAACCTAGATACTTAGGAATAATAACTCACTATCTTACAAGATTCATAGTGAAGTTCAGGGCTAAAGTCTTGAGCCTTGTGTTGGTATTACTGCCATACAAGGAGTCAAAAATCAACTGAATCGAAGCTGGAAATGCAAAAGCTTTTCCTGTGATCCGACACAGATAAGTTAAAAGTTTAAGCCTTATTCTGGTACTAGCAGGTGATTTGATTTGATCCTCTTTCAAACTTTTCGATTGGGAACCCAAAAACATGCTAAATAGGGGCATTACAACACTGAGTGAACCCCAATCAACAGAGCTAAAAATACGCTTGTAACACAATAAAAAAACCAAATGAACGGTTTACCCGACGACTTTTTTCAATTCCATATCAGCTAAATTAGCTACAGTAAATCGCGTATCGGCGGCTGCYACAACGAGGTGAATTAAAATATCCTCGTCTTTGAAAACTCCATGTGCCAAAAATCGTACAATTCCCAATTTAATCTAAAAATTAATTTATGACTGTAGAGAAACAAAATTCAAATGTGTACCTCTTCTAGTTCCTCAGGTTTTAAGGGATTGTTTAAAGTAATGCGTTTGAAGGAGTGTTGGCTCATACAGGGGGGCACAGGGAGAGACACAGATCTTTGCTCATTTTCGGGCGTTTGAGGTGATAGGGCTCTACAATACATATCTCACATTTAATTTTAACTCATCAATTTTTTTTACCCATAAGGCAACAGAAGCATATCTAAAAGCATATCAAGCAAATGTTTGGCAATTTGCGGCTTCTCATTCAAGCCAAATAAAGTGGCCACTTTCTCCGGTTCAGTCGGGACCTTAACTCTGCCTAACACCGGTATAACCAGCAAAAGAATGCTGTCCAAGTGAGCAACAGGTTTCTGTTCAAGTGCATTCAAAATAACTGGGACAAGTTCGGCTTGTCTGTCAACACTCAATCGTGGAAATCCCAATTTCATATAAATAATTGTGAAATTCTGATATTAAAAAAAGTATGAGTGGGAGGCATTTTTAGTGTGATACAACTATACCGTGACAAATGAGGTAGATGCAGGGTCTTGATACTGTTTTATCAAATCTTCAACAGGTAGCTGAATTTGGGGCCGAGTTTTTACACGTTTATTTACATGTATTAAAAGTTCCATTACCTTAAAAATAACAGTCAATGTTGTATATTTGATGAGTCATTATTATTTACTTTCTTGCGAACGCTTTCCTCAGGAGACGCCAATTTTAATAAAACGGGTGTCAAGAACTTGGAAAGGAGGTTTTGAAGTTGCTCATCAGTGTCAGCTGAACCCAAACGCAAGAAGACCCGCTCCAAGAGCACTGAAAAATCATTTCCAAAAAATAAACACTAGAACCAAAATTTTTTTAAAAATGTATACAATCGTGTGTGTTTACATAATTAAAAGAGCGTACACATGTTTTTAATACGTAATAAGTTTTTTATTTAAATTACTCACTTAATTCATTTGCAGAGTCCGCCATGGCCATATTTATTTATTTGGCAGCTGTCACCTGTCAAGTTAACAAAGGTCAAAAAATAATGTCCTAAAAAAAATAAAGACACTGCAAAAATCATTAGTATCAAGTTCYTGGTATTGCTAATTAACCAACATACAAATATTTAATGATCCCATTAATTAGTACATATCTACTTAATTTCTTATTTGTAGAATTCAATATTCGGTCGCGAGAACTATCGCAAGCAAACATACTTGGACTTTAACAGTGACTTTAATCTTCATTTTTATTTAAAAAAGCATTGTCGATTTAAAGTGTAGAGTCTTTAAAACTCTAGCAATTAACTCCGCTAGTGAGTTAAATTGCTCTATGTTTTTTTTTTATTAAAAAACAATTTTTTAAAAATTAGCACCATAACCAACCGTACACAACCAAACTTCCCTCTTTGGAAGCCATGACAGAAAATTCCCGCGTTGACATTGCGACGCTAGAATTAGTTTTTGTGAGTTTAAATAAATTTTTTAACCAATCTTAATAAACGGTTTTAAAATGAACGAAATAATAGAACAAGTGCAACGTGGGGACTTCGATCCCATCAAATTGTTTACAGACTACAGGACTGAGATTTTTAAGGTTTTGTTTATGTTCAGTGTAAGTGGTTATTAAAAATATTTTTTTAATCCAGGTGAAAACAGCAGTTAAGGATTTTACAASTAATTTACCCAAAGAGTTGTGTGTTAATCTTTTTGTAACAAAAATTGTACCCGCTGTATTTGATGAAAATGTAGATAATTCCCTTAGAGATGAACTGATTGAGGTTGGTTTTCATTTCCTCCAGTTTATTAATGTTACTAAGTTAGATACCAAAGAACAAGATAAAGTATTTAGTGAAATCGAAGAYACGTAAGTTGTTATACAAGAAATGTTTGAATTTGAATTAATGTAACAAATTTAAGGTACACAAAAGTTGTTGGTGAGTTGAGAGACAGTGACTACCCCAATTGGGACAAGCTCTGGATATTTTTAATCAAGTTATGTAGTGAGAAGCTTCATTCAAGACTAAGCACTACTAATAGACTTTTGAGACTAGTTGAAGTTGCTTTTCGCAACTCCTCTACAGAACAGAGATTAAAAGCTTATGATTGTTGGATAGAATTAATAAARAATAGTAGTCTAAACATGGAATACCTTTGCGGTGGGAAACAGATTAAGTTGCTAGTGACACCCATGAAGGCAAAATTTGCTAGAACGCCTACTGTTATAGTAAAACGTTGTGATACTTTCATCTATTTGTTGGAAAAATTGCAAGATAAAGCAACCTTATGTTTGAAAGAATTTCTAGAATTTTGTTTTGAACCATTTGATGAGAAAAATGATTCTGAAAAGACAAGACAGGGAAGAAGTGTTCCAGAAGTTTGCTGTAAAGGTACCAAAGTGTTGCTTGAAATTTTGGGTAAATGTTTGTTATATTTAGAGAAGATGAAATTATATTTTAAGCATTCTAGGTCATTCACACGATCCTCTGGTAAAGTGTTTGAAGAGTGACGAATTTCAGCTGGTTAAACCGTTAGTTACCAACGATAATTTTCACAATTTTGCGGAAATTTTAATTAATTCTGTTATGGAATGTTGTACTTTACTCCACAATTGTAAACAAGAGAAGTCTATTATTGGCGTCGTAAGACATTGAAAAAAAAATCATGGTCTCGTCTCATTGCTTTTTACAGATTATTCAGTGCCTTTGGAAATCACTTCTTCGACTAATTCATCAAAGTAGCGATGATGTAAAGGAGAAGTGTTGCAGACAAATCAATAATTTATTGAGAAAGTCGCTTGAAGTAATATCAATTATCTTAATTTGTTGACAATAAAAAATGCATTATTTACAGAGTACCGCACAGAACGATTTTTTATATTTAGTTCTAGGAAACGTAGTAGTGCTACTAGTCCGTGACAGACTCATAGACGAGTTCAGAGACATGCTTTTTGCAGTAGCGATACATTTGTTATGGATGATCAATTTTCAGACTTGGTATATTTGTAACAACAAAAAATATTTCTCTAATTGTAAAAAATTGTAGCACTTTTTTAGAAATCTACATTTTGAAATTCGTCCACTCCTGTTTGAACGCTGAAAACTCCAGCAAATTTCACAACATGGTTTCTAATTATTTCAAAAGCGACACAGAATGTGCAAATCCAAACCACCTAAGCAGTATTTGGTGCAAAATTTTAGTCTCATTTGAAGATTTTCGTTGTTTAATCTGGCCTGTCCGTTATCTTCACGAATTTAAAGATGCAACAGTACAATTTTTGAAAATTGAGAAATATAGTACTAATTTTGTAATTTTAGAGCGTCAAATCGAAGTGGGTCAAATTGTTCGAATGTAAGCCAGAAAATGTGAAAATTATTTTTCTCCAAAAGCTTGCGAAACTCTTCCTAGATAATCAGACACTTGGCTCTAATATAGTGGAATTTTTAGAACTGATTTCGTCAGCGGAAACCAATCCCACCAAGGATTTTGGTAATTATTCTCTTGATTCCTGATTACAGTGACTTATGATTCTGAAATTAAATTGGTATCACTGAATATTGTTGGGACAGAAGATATGAAATTAGTCGGTTTTCATATTTTCATTATTGCCAATTGAATTTCAGAAATAAGTTACTGTGATTGGAAATTTAATAGGCATTTATTTTAGTGGCAAAATTAATGAAACTTGTTGAGCTAATCCTTAATTTGCCCGATTTATCCAAAAGTGATGTTAAGAAGTTAAGCTCAACGATTCTGTTTTATTGCCACCAAAATTTGTACTTTTATAAGTGTGAAGGTAACGACGAGGCTATTAACAAGTTGTGTAGCTGTTTAGAGAATATTATCACAATTCATAAGGTATATATTTTTGTGCAAAATATTTTGTTCTCATTATTTGTTGCTTAGGAGTATTCGGTTTTGGACGAATTGGCCACTCATTTGAAAAACAGCCAAACGAAAATTTTGGTGAAGTTCTCTAAACGTCTAATTCCATTTTTCGAAACACTCATGTTAAACGATGACAACACAATTGTTAATAGTGCAAGACAGTTAATTGAGTTGCTGGAAATAAAAGAAAACGAACGAGATCCATTTATGAAGTGTACTCGATCTTTGCGAATAATCAACATGGCTAATGTTACCCCAAAAGCGAAAAAATTAGGAAACCAATCCAATGTTTTTAAGACCTTGCCGCTAACATCAAAAAGTAAAGTATCTCCGCTTAGAGGGAAGAAAAAAGGACCAATTCTATCCATAAATGAAGACAGTTCTTCCGATTATGTCAAAATTGATACAAAAGTTAAACTCGATTTGGATAATCTGAACGAACATCAGAAAGAAATGTTGTCAAGAAGAAGAGACGACATACCTGCCTTATATGAAGATTTGACTCGAAGTCAAAGTCAAGATTTCTTCAAGATAAAGGAGGCAGAAAGCCCTTCCATGAAAGATAAACGGTCAGATGACGAAACAGAAACACAGACCCTTGATATTTTGAAGGAAATGAAGGAAGAAACGTCTTTAAATTCCTTCGCTTCCGAATTAAGTAGTCTGTTTGATAGAGAGAAAAAAATTGAAAGTAATGAAACTGAACCAAAGGCGTCACCGAAGACAGTAYAAAAAGTAACTAAAATTCGTAGGGTTGCTAAACCAAAAAAACTACGACATAAACTTTACAACGCCGTGAAAAAACAACTAGAAAAATCGGAAACAACGAAAGTAAATCAGAACGGCATACAAAGTAATGAAGATAATTCCGAGGTGGTTGATGAAATCATCCAAAACACCGAAGAAACATCGATTCGTAAAAGCAAGCGACAAATCAAGACACGCAAACTAGATTTTTTTCAAACGACATCCATGCATATGAAAAGAGAAAAAAGGAGTTTGGATGATTTGTTGGCGCTAGTGGACAAACGAGTCGAAAATTCCCGAAAAAATGAAGAAGGCAAAACTGACGCACAAGACAACCAAAACAAAATACCGATAATAACAATTCAAAAACTTGTGCGGAGTTCCAGGACGCGGAAAAATCCAAAACCCATGAATAAACCCACTTTTAAGATAAAACTGCAAAAAAAGAAAACACTTTTCGCGAAAAAACAACAAATAAAAACCGAAATCCCTAAAGACAAGTCTGACGACGTTTATGAATTTAAAACCGAGGAGGATGCTCCGTCAGCAAAACCGAAAAAACCGGTAAAAAGGGTAAAAAAAGGACTTTGCTTGGACCAAAGTGATTATATCAAGAAACGTAAAAAAATAATCAAAAAAGAAATCTCTCATATCACGGCGGAAACTACCGCGAGTTCTTCCCCGGTTGTGAATAGTCAAAATCCGGTTCCGACAAGTAGTTGTTCGACTCCGGTTTCAACTAGCAACAGTTCACTTCCAACTCCGGTTTTGAACTATAGTTCAGTTGTGACAGATAGATGTTCGCCTCCGGATTTGACTGATAAAAATTTGGTTTCGACAAGTAGTAGTCCGACTCCGGTTTCACCAGTTCGGACAAGTAGATGTCGGACGCCGGTTTTGAATAGTAAAAGTTCGGTTCCGTCAAAGAGATGTCCGACTCCGGTTGTGACTGATAAAAATMTGGTTTCGACAAGTAGTAGTCCGACTCCGGTTTCARCAGTTCGGACAAGTAGATGTCGGACTCCGGTTTTGAACAGTAAATGTCCGGTTACGACAAATAGAAGCCCGACTCCGATTTTGACTGATAAAAGTTCTGTTCCGACTCCGGTTTCAGCTAGTAAAAGTTCAGTTCYGAAACGTAGATGTCCGACCTCGGTTTTAACAAAAAAAAGTTCGGTTCCGACAATTAGTAGTTCGACTAGTAAAAGTTCAGTTTCGACAACTAGATCTCCGACTCCGATTCCAACTGATAAAAGTTTGGTTCCGACAAGTAATAATCCGACTCCGGTTTCAACCAATCAGAGTTCTGTTTTGATAAACACATGTTTGACACCAAATTCAACCAATGTAAATCCGGGTCCGACAAGTAGTAGTCCACCTTCACTGATTCCTTTAACCTGTAAAAGTCCTACTCCAACAAGCAAAAGTCCTTCTCCGGAATCGAAAAATAAAACTCTTACTGTAGTAATCACACCTTTAAATCAAAGTAAAGAGTCAAATGAAAGTATTGAAATCGGTGAAACTTCTGATTCAACACCCCTGCCTTCGCGAAGATCWCGTCGTAAACAATCTTTCGAGAATATCAGATCTCTTGAAGACGTTATTGAGAGTTCGCAAGCTTCTCAGAATAATCATTCAACTAGACTACAYTCGCGATATCGCCTAAATCGTAATTTAAAACAACAGACGATTGATGAAGTTCTCACAACCCCCAGTAAACCTAAATCGCATTCAGAGCAAACCAACAAAAATAAAAATAATCAATCACTGTGTGAAAGCACTCCTAAAAATGTCAAACCAATAGTACTCCGAAAACGCAGCAAATCGTTGGATAACGTCGATGAGATGATCACCAAAGTGACTTTTACAGAAGAAGTTAAGATTAATGACACTTCCGCCGACACGCTGACTCTAGAATCTGTTAAAGCCGATGAGAAAACCCCYCCGGAACAAGAGCAAATCCAGCAGGCTGATACTCTGACTCTAAGTCCGGTTAAATCGCAAACKACCGARGATTTACCTGGATCACCGGTCACGTGTGACACTCCGGATCGTACGAACGAATTTTTGAACAGTACTTCAGACATTTCTCCGATTAGTATCGAACAGGAGGAGGCRCCATCAACGCCCAAACCGAGTCAAGTGCCGAATATGCGATCTGCACGATTGCTACGAATGGCTAATTCGAACGTACAAGTTCCGAATTCGAATCGGAGATGGTTCGGAAATAAGCATTCGTCGCCGAGTGTGAGCCGAGTGTGCAAGATGAAAATGCGAAAAGAGGAGACTTTGGATATTTTGACTTTTTCGCGGGAAGTACCGAGTCCGTTAACAGTTCCTGCTAGTGGGATTTTGAAGCGGAAGAATGAAAACGTCGATGAAGTGGCACCAGCCCCTAAGGTTGGTAACAAAGGTTTGCGAGTTGGCTATGTTAAAGTGTGGTTTTTAGCGCAAGCGGGTTAATTTCTCCGATCCGGCTATAACCGAAAAGAAGATTTTTATCCGCGAGTCGGAAGAGTTCGAGGATGATCAAAATGACAAAGACAATACTGATAATGTGGACGAAGAGTTGGAAAAGGTGGGTTTCTTTTATTCTCGTTTTAGATATTTTTAATGTTTTGTTTCAGAAACCGGAAGCAAGTGCTCTTGATCGTGAAGGTTTGCGCTTTAGTTTTACAGATTTCTGGGATTCAAATTTTGAAGATACTAGCAAAGGCAAACAAGCACTTCAGCTTCTTATACAAAAATTAAAAGTTCCTGACATTGTGGAAGTGATTTCCCCAGATGAGATTAATGACCAATTGCTTATAACGAATTTACTTGATAAAGCAAGAAATAATAAAATTGCTAATCAGGAATTAATAGAAAAGCAGATTCATGACCAGGTYGCTAAATTTGATTGTGATAGCATGAAAAAGCTCATTAAAAGTTATTTTGRGAATATAGAAGGCGACAATAGGAATAGGTTTATAATTGATTTGATAAGATTAGCCAGCAATGAATTTGTATAATCAATATGTGTACTTTACTRGAAATATTTGGATTCTGTTTCATATATTTAATAAAACTTTTAATTCAACTAGCGTTTTTGTTAATTATACCTAATGAACCTAATATACTACTCCTGATGTTTACATTTRGGGTTAAATTCCTTATACCCGCAAACCAACGCCGAACTTATACGTGTTTTTTTTTCAAACATTTGTTCGAAATATTGTTAATTATTGATATACATACATGAAATTACATTGTTTTCAATTTTTAGCAGTTAATGCTGGGTTACCTATCCTTACTTCACCTACAGTTTTATTTATTTAATGAGGAAGGATTATTACAAACACAACATAGGGTTATTTAAAAGGTATCTTTTTAGTTATTAATTATAGACACTTAAAAGTAAATGTTTTTGGAAGTTTTCGGCAAACATGTGAGGAATTAACAGAAACTAACACGCTTTTAAAAAGTTAAAGGTTTAATTAATATTCCATAGAAGCCTTTTACATCGGCTTGTGATATTACTCTTCTTACTGTCAAACCTTCGCTTCTCTCGTTCTTCATCTCTGGAGCTTTCAGGCGTCTCCTTAGCGCTCCCCTCCTTTCCGAACATGCCCGAGACCTCAGCTCAGGCCGAATATCCCTTGCTGCGCCAGCTTGGGGGAAACCCGCTCACAAACTTGTGGTATTTTATTTAAAAACTTTGTATTGTAGCTTATTTTTGGGACCATGGGTTTTTATGTTATATTATTATAATAACTGTCAAATTAATAATGTGACCATTAATTTTATTGATTCTAAAAAATTAATAGTTTTGCAATAAATATTGAACATTTTTCAGTGTCGTAGAAAAAATAGTGCASAAAATTCGCTGGAAAGTATCTAAGGCACTCGTAGCGCTTCTGCTTCTATAAGAATCTCCACTTGTGCGTTATTTATCACTTTCCGTGTTCATTATGTGATATAATGCTCATATCCTGTTGTTCTGTGCTCATATCTGCAGTTAGACAACCAACAATACTTCCAAATTTATTTCTTTCTCGAGATAACGTGGACATAACCATAGGACATAACCTATTTATTAGTTCATTTGTGATAATTCACTTTTCTTTATTAAAAAATGGGGGAAGAACCAGGTCGGCTTTTATTTTTGTAATTAATGAAATATAAAAACAAATTTTAGGCTCTAAAAGAAAATTGTCAGCTTCAATCTCCAGTGAAGAAGATGAAGACGATTTCAATAAGATTTTCCAGTTTGAAGATGAGGCAGAAGAAGAAGAGGACTCAGAAACTGAACCCGAAGAAGTTGACTGTGATAAGTGGGATTACGACTGTAAAGTCAGTACGCTGAAATCTGACAAAAGTGTAGCTGGCTGTAAGTAAAGTAAGCCACTTTTTATGTCTCTTCACTTAAGTATAGACCATTTAATGCCCACATGTAGCAGAGACCCTGAGGAGAATCCCAGCAAAAGAATCAAATTGTCGCCAGAAGTTATGTCGCGTTTGTTGGACACGAGTTACAAAGACGAATTAAAAACTAATTGGACTAAAAATAAGGAATTACATTTGGTTGACACTGAACTTATAATAAAGCCGTTCAAAGTTTGTGTTGTCAACAATTTTCTAGAAAATCCAAATTTCTTGGATGAGATAAGACAAGAATTCAATGAAGTTGACTGGAATGTGAGAAGCCTAGATTTATACGAGTTTTTTCAATCAAAAGATTTGAAACATTTAACTAACTTTCCAAACATCAATTTATTGTACAAATTGTTACAAAACGATGTCATGAAATGGGTTGCTGAAATCACTGGATTGAAACTAACCCACATATCGGCCACGTGCAGTTTTTACTCAAATACAGACTACCTATTGGTCCATGATGACCAACGAGAGGACAGAATGATAGCTTTTATTTTATACCTGACTGGAAAAAATGCCTGGGATGAGAGTAAAGGCGGTGCCTTGCAATTACTAAATAAAGACAATGACGGCCAACCTGCTYAAATCGCCAGAAACATATACCCCGCCAACAACCAATTTGTGTTCTTCCCCGTCACCAGTGACTCCTACCATCAGGTAAGCCTTGCTAGATTGTCATTTGTCTCAATTATCGGTCACATCATCGTCACAGGTGGCCGAGGTGACATCACTTGAAGACAACAGACTCAGCATCAATGGGTGGTTCCACACCAACACACCCCCTACTTTTACCACCCCCAAATACCAACCATACCCAGATGGGTTATTTGGTGAGAAACAAAACCCGCCCATTGAATTCGACAGTGAGTTATCATCGTGGCTCACTGAGGGATATTTAGAGTGTGACATTATCAAAGAAATACAAGAATATTTTGAGGAACATTCGGAAATATCACTCAAGAATTTTTTCAAAATGGAACCTTTCAATGAGTTAAAGTTGATTTTGACTTCTGATTTGAGCTGGGTCAAAATTGGGCCCCCAAACCGGCATTACTACGAGGTTGCTAAAATTAAAGACTTGCCGGTMGTCCTTGACCGGTTTTTGATGTTGTTTCAAAGTAAACAAATGTTTGATTTATTGAGACGTTTCACAGGAATTGAGTTTAAGACTAGTTCGTCTGTGAAGTTCGAATTGCAAAAGTGGACACATGGGTGTTACTCTGTAAGTGACTTTAYTAACAAATTCAGTTGGTTTAAGTATTGTTTCAGTTATTGGGTGATTATGACTGGTATGAGAAGAAGCAACTAGATGTGGTGATGCATTTTGGTTGCGAATGCAACAGTGATGTGATTGGAGCTAGGATAATGTATGTAACAACAGATGAGGAAGTGCAAGATGCGCTGATAACACTAGAACCGGAGGAAAATAATTTGAATATTATCTACAGGGACACAGCCAGGTTTACCAAATATTTTAGTAAACAAAGCAAATGTGACTGTTTCTACACTRTCATTTGTTCTTATACGGAATAAAAGGCGTCAATTTTTATTAAACAATAGTCCTTTATTATTTTTATAAAAGTTATACACGGAAGTACGTTAAAATACTATGAATTAACAATGAATATATTGGTAAAATGGTTTAGTAGTTGCAAACTTGTTCCACAGTAATACCAACCGTGAATACTGCTCCTTCAACACAATACTGTTGAACTGTAATCAAGGATTAAAAATTCAATATTGCACGCGCTGCAACCACCAACTTAAAAAAGTAACATCTAAAAAATAACAAAACTCCCTTAATTTTTAGACTATATAAACCTTATATCAGTCTTAAAAATTTTCCTGACCTTCACAGCCTTTTAAAACCTCGTCATCCTCACTCTTCAATTCCAGTTGTACTTCCCGTTGACATAATTCGGTTGAAAGTTGACATTGATGGTGACCGGATGCAAGACGACATTGTGCATACCGGGGACCACTTCAAGTATGTCATAATTGCGCAAAAACGGCAACAGAGTTTTGTAATCTATCGTCAGAGGAACGTAATAGGATCCTTTTGCGTGTAAGACAAATATCGGAACGTTGAAATTCTTGTCCAATGAAGTCCGAGGCGAGTAGGGCCGAAGCTCGTTTCGGGGAATCGGCTCGATTTTCATGTGGTTGAGCGACGACGTGCTCTCAGTCGGGGAAATCCGGGAGGGCTCATGCTCTGAGATTCGAGTCAATAATTCGCTGCTAGGCGGGGAACTACGGCTGGAACTGAGTTTGCAATTAAAATCAAATTAATTTGTTTTCGTCAATTTAAATTGTGCAATTATGTATTATTTTGATACACAACTTATTTGTTACCTTCATTTTTTTTTACTTTATTATGTATTTACTTAAGTATGAAAACAAATGACTAGCAGGTAACACCTTTTAATCTGTTWTGGTTTTTAAGAGGTTTTATTCTTAATCGCTGTATTTTGTAATGTATTATCTGTTACAATATTTTTCACAGGTGTTTTTCTGATGATATACAAAAATACATTTTTTACGATTTCTAATTAAATGGGAATAGGATTTTTCCATTACCCTAAAAACTGTTAAGGCAAGATATTTTTATTTTTTCTGTAATTTTTATTCTTTTTTTAAAGTTTTCTTTAGTATACACGGTGATTCAAAAGGGTCGTACAATGGCGAGCATTAAGGTTGAAGTATACTGAATAAAAAAATAAATCGTCATTCAAAAATTCAGAAAAAAATATCATACAWTTTTGATGGCCTTAGCAGCAATATACATWCAGGGTGCGCCAGAACTCGCGCCCCAGAGAAAAATGCCATATAAGGTAGGATACCAGGAACATGGAAAAAATGTTAAAAAAATTGTATCTATAAAAATTTCGAAGTTATGAGGGTTTAAAGTTTACACTTTGACACTATTTATTTCTGTTGGAAAAATAATTTTCCAAGTTTTTTTGCTATTGGCTATTAAAAGAGGAAACAAGAAAGCTGTATCCTAAATTGTAACTCTGTTCAATGTTATTTGTGGCTTTAATTGGCAAAATTTTTGTACCTTTACTAAATAATTGTAAAAAAAACATATACAAGATCATCAGTATCATTAAATAGACGTAAAAAAATGTCAAATGTCAAAATTTTTTGATAGAATTTTTTAAACATTTTTTTCATGTTCCTAGTATCTTATCTTACTTGGAAATTTTCTCTGCGGCGCGAGTTCTGGCGCACCTGTATATTAATATGAAACTTTTTCTCCGCGTCGTTTAAAAATGAATTAAAAAAAGTACTATTTTTGGCCATTTTATTTTTTTATAAAAAAAACTGTACGGAAGAATTTTTTGATTTATTTTTGGCGTATTYTAGATTAGGTACTTACTTATGTTACTATATTTTTTCATGCAATTTGAATAATAAGTTTTTTGATAAAACAAATAAAAACTATTGAATTTTGCAATCTGTTACAAATACTCAAAATGAGATAAAAACTCTGTGTTACTGTGTGTGTGAGGTACTGATTTATTCAAAAACAACATCCAATTGTAAAAAAAAAATGTTTACTGTTTTTCTTAAAAATTCAATTATTATTTTTTTTTCTTTGAAGACTTGTTCGACGGCTTTCCGTCTGTATACAAGCGACAATTTCTTGTATATTTTGGAACTGGCTAGAGATATGCCATCTACGGAACGGTAGAGTAAATAGTTTTGAAATCTGTAATTCTGTAATTTTTTGTAAAAAGACTAAAAATCTCAAGGAATAATAATTTTTAATAAATTATGTACTATATTTTTTGTTTGTTCCAATTCATTATATTATAACTATCATTGTGGCGTCACCATCTATTTATCTTTCTGTTTTTAAAATTAAAGTAACAGAGCAAAATTAATTATTTGAAAATTGACAAAAATGGTAATACCAAGAATCAATTTTTTTCAATTTAGTTTCGCACCTTCTGATCGATATGCTATTATTAAATTACATTCCTAATATTAGTGAAATGTATGCAGTAAAACGGTTTTACATTTGCATAATATAAGATGCATACTATCAATATTTTGAATCGGGAAAAATTTTGATAAAAATTCAAATATAATTTTATAAATTAGTAACTTTACATTACTTTGTTCTAAAAAAGTACTGCTCCTAAAATAAATAATAATAATAACCAAAATAAATAAAAGTGTAGGTTACTTTATAGAATTCTAAGAAAAAAGAGAAAGTTGGTTCAGGAGCTATCGGGCAGAGATTCCCTAATTTTGGTAAGTAATATCATTTTGAAACTTATTTTTTTTTGTCAAAAAAAGTAGTTTCCCTGTGTAATTTTGTCTGTTGTCAACCTTCTTTAAAAAATTAATATAATCGTCAAAACACCACGCCAAAAACTACAAAACTAATACGGAATTACCTTCCATAATTAATAAAAAAATTAGAAATAGCACCAAAACATGAAGTTTTGACATCAAATTGCCTGTATCAAATTTTGTAAAAATAGATTAATCCATTAATAGTTATTAAAGAAAAACGAAAATAATTTTTAAACTTTGGCGCCTTCTGGTACAACTTGGTGTAGAGGTAAGCTTTATTTTGAAATGGGGAGGGAATCTCAGGTTACTTTTTTTGTTTCCATCTCTTCGTTACACCCTGTATTAAACTTAATTGTAATATTGATTATCAAAGGTCAAAAACTGATTAAAATATTCTTTCATTGACTTTCTGCGAAATGGTTTATTTAATTTGTCAATTAATTGAAGAAAAAAAAATATTAGTGTCAAGTGATTTTTCCGAATAAAAATGTTCTTAAAATTAAGTCTGGGACAACAAATATTTTTCTATTTTAGTTTACTTTATTCATCGTTGTAAATCAGTCACGTGGCCATTTTTCAAAGTTGCAATTAGATAGCTTTACTATAAGGAAATAGTCATAAATTTGGCTATTTATTGCTTGAAAGCCTTTTATCCAACTTTGTCACYTTGTACCAACTCAAGTTTAATCATCATCGAGCAATTTTCTAAGAAAGTGATTTTCACGGATTTTATAAGAATTTTTCAAAAACAAACAAACGGAAATGGCTCTTATTATTCATGCAAATATTTTTCGCAAATGACACGAATGACACGACTACTGTTACCTATAAATTTTTTATGAAACGCCTTTATTTCCATAATTATAAACATTTTGTCCGAGTGATGAGAAGTATTTTCTTATTTTATGACAATTCTTTGAAATTGATTGCGATGAATTTCTGCTCTTGACCCTTGAAAATTAACATCTATGTAAATCTGATCACCTCTAGGAGAATCGGTAGGAATCGTCCGTGTGAACTTTGATTTGTTTTCGAATTTTCGTAAAGCGCACTGAATATGCGATTCATGAGTGATATAAGAGAGGTAATTTAGGTATTTATGCCAGTGGCCAATGTGAGTTCTAGGTTAAACTCGGCTGTTTTACTCTTTTCACTCTTAGAGAAGAATATATTAAGAATAAATGTATTACTCAGATAAAGAGGGACGAAAAAAATGTATGTAACACGGGAGTAAAATAAATAAATATTCACCTCTGATTTTCGACGCTATTGACGGACGCCCTGCGTCCATTTTCCGTCTTCTGTCTCTTGATCCCCTCGTTTAAATCCTGACTGAAACGCATTTTAATGTTGTTTTTATACTTATAAGAAACCCCATTTCCGTTACATTCTGGATGTTTGTCATAGTTTTCAGTGTCATTCAGACTAACTGTGAACGAACCATTATTATTTGGCTCAGTTTTAGGCGTCTGATAGTCAGACACTTGCACCTGTGGATTGCCGACTTCTTGCAAATTCCTCGTTTCTAAAATCGGCTGATTTGCCGCCGCTGAAGGCTGCGTCATCCTCGACAAGCTCTCGCAATGCTTTTGCAAATGGTTGAGGATGCGTACACAGATGCCTTCGCGGGGGAAGTGACCTTCGACCTCCACCATAAATCGCATTGCTTCAGACATGCATTCCTGATAACCCATGCTAACAAAAAGCTGTTTTTTAACGTCTTTGGGTTGCCACCACTGCTCACCGATAGTGCTCCGAGGGGCTGCCGTGCTCCTGCTGGAGGTARTTCATGTGTTTGATGGCCATTTCGATGATTTCGGTTTTCTCGATTCGACCTCGGCCTTTTTTTAAATATTCCGTCGGGATGAGGCGAGATAAATCGGCAAGACAATTATTCATGCGGTCTCGACGTCGCTTTTCAATTATTCGGTGCGACATAGGGTCTTGCTAATCAAACAAAAAAAAAACGGTTGTTCAAATTAGATTTCAATTTAATTACTACGAAAGTTACCCTTGTCACTTTATTTTTCTTGTAAGGGCCGTATTCGGAGTCGTCCTCGCTGCAYGTAGCCGTGGAAAAATTCAAATTTCTGCAATTCAGATTCTGAGAGAATTATAATTGTAAAGTCGGGAACTTACGTCTCACAACATTGGTAAACACCTCGTTCATCTTTGGATCGGCCCAATTCATCATTCGAATTGCACCTATCAAAAAAATATATATCATCACGATTTCTAAAATTCAGTCAGTGTG